GGAGGAGAGGGAGAAGCAGGCTCCCCACTGAGCAGGGAGCCCGATGCGGGGCTCGATCCCAGGACCCTGGGATCATGACCTGAGCCGAAGGCAGAAGCTTAACCATCTGAGCCACCCAGGCGCCCTCAACTTTGATTTTCTAATGATGCCAGTGATAAAAAGAAAACTGAGACGAGTGAAAGGTTCAGAGAGTAATCTGAAAATCTACTTCAATAACTTAAAGATATTAGGAAGCAGGAGGACCTCAAACCTGGCCCCTGTACTTGCTCTCCCTCATAGATGCTCCCTTATTAAGTCCATATTTCAGTATGGATATATTTTCGTACCAACTAATACCCTATCTTCACCTAATTTAGAGAACTAAAATTAAGAATTGCATGAAAAAAATTCACAAAAACAGATTTAAATGACTTTCTATGTTACTCAAAAAGCCTGACAGGGAAGTCAGACTATCTTTTAAAAATGTAGTGATTTCGGGTAAATACAATGCCAGTGGCACCGCACACACGCACAGTCTTTTTTTCCTTTTTTTATTGAAATATAATTCATACACCATACAATGCATGCTTTTAAAATATGCGCTTCAGTGATTTTTAATACAGTCACAAAATTGTGCAACCATTGCTTCTAATTCCAAAATCTTTTCATCCACCCAAAAGAAACTGTACCCATTAGCAGTCATGCCCCACTCCTCCCTGTCTCCAGCCCCTAACAACTATAATCTATGTTCTATGCCTGTAAATCTGCATACGCTGGACACTTCATAAATAAATAAAGTACGTGGCCTTCTGTGTTTGGCTTCTTTCACTCGGCATAATGCTTTCAAATTTCACATACGTTGTAGCATGTAGCAGCTCATTTCTTTTTTGGCTCAGTAATATTCCACTGTATAGCTATACCACATTTTGATTACCCATTCATCAGTTGATGGACATTTAGGTTGACTTTTTTGGCTATTATAAAATAATGCTTTTGTGAACATGCATGTACAAGTTTTTGCGTGAACACATATTTTCAGTTCTCTTGGAAGTTCTGGGTCATATGGTGATTCTATGTTAACCTTTTGAGAAACTGCCAGACTACTTTTTTTTTTTTTTAAGATTTTATTTAGTTGAGAGAGAGAGCACAAGCAGTGGGGAGAGGCAGAGGGAGAAGCAGACTCCCCACTGAGCAGGGAGTCTGACTTGGGGCTCAATCGCAGGACCCTGGGATCATGACCTGAGCCGAAGACAGACGCTTAACCGACTGAGCCACCCAGGCGCCCCTGCCAGACTAATTTCCAAAGCAGTTGTACCATTTTACATTCCCACCAGCAATGAATGAGTTCCAATTTCACACATCCTCACCAACACTTGGTATTGTCTGTCTGTCTGATTATAGCCACCTTGCTAGGCATAAGTGGTATCTCAATATTGTCTTGATTTGTATTTTCCTTATTACTAATGATGTTGAACATCTCTTCAGTACACAAACTTTCACAATAGTTTTCCATATAGTTTAGATTGATCTAACAAATTCTATAACAATTATGATGAATAATTTTTCAATCCTTACATAATTTTTACATTAGACCTCACTAAGGAGACTTACATACAACCAGGGAATGTTTATCTTGTGAATGAAAGAACTATTAGAAGATAATAAAAAAGTACATCTTTAAAAATTATATACACTGACATTAAGATTTTATACATTTATATACTCATAATACAAACACTTTATCCTTTGGCAAACACAGGTGATCAAAGGTAAGTTCGGGTAAGAATGAAGTTTGTAAAAAGCAGTTCAATATCTTCTAGCAAAATAGTAAATGATGGTAGGTGAGCTAGCCCAGTTGTTCAAATGCCATTAATTATTTCTCTAGAAAAATGTAATGATTCTAAATAATCACTGCAAGTTTCATCACTTGTTAAAGTTTCTAAATTGCTTTAAAGTTTACTTCTGTGACCTTTCCATTTGCTAGACCAAAATAAAACATTGACTTAAATTATATTCAGAAACATTTCATTACTAAGTACTAGAAAGTATATTTTGTCATATGACAAAATATATTACTGCCCACACTCATGACATATAAGACCTCTGTACAATAAAAGTTAGTAGGGAAACTGATGTTTAAAACATGGAAAATTCAATCAAAATGTTCCTATTTTTAAAAACATAAAACAAGGAACCAAAAGCTCAAAGTACAGCTAATAGTAACAGTTAACTCACTCTGGTTATGATCACTTTTTAACTCATTCAGGAAATGCCCACATAATCATTTAGTAAATGACACCATTATGTTTTCCACTGAAAGTACCAAACCCAGTGAACTCCATCAACATTGTGTGTGTGTGTGTGTGTTCTAGATATTCTGGTCTAACATTATGCCACCTCCCACTATGCTTTCTACTTTCAATACCAAACATTTGTTTATGCAAGTCCCCCTGTCTGGAATTGCCCCCTCTCCAGTCTTCTTTCCCTCACCACTGCAATCTACCCTGATCCAATACCAGCTCTGTGTGTGACAGAATGCCGGCCCTTACTGCTCCTTCCACTGAGCAGCTACACCGACTATCAGTGGGGGCAATTAAATCCACAGGTAGGTAAAAGGAGCTTGAATCTGAAGGATCAACGATGACGCCCAGGTTTCTAGTTTGGCTGACTGTGTAGAAGGTCACATCCCTGTCCACATAAACCTTTATGAAGGTGTGAGTCAAGTCAAAGAGAACAATCTTCAAATTACAAAGCACAAAAGTTGTTGCAATCCTTTCAGGGATCTCTAAATGAGTTAGTTATTACCTATTCTACCTCCTCCTAACTGGACTCTGACCTAGAAGCTAAGGATAAAAACAAGATGGTCTATGAACTAAATATCTAATATTAATCAAGCACTTATTATGTACAGTTGCTTCACTTCTACATTATTACTTTCAATCTTCACAGAAGACCCTACTATTGTGCCCCCTGCATAGAGCAAACAAACTCAGGGCTTAAGTGGTTTGCCCAAGCTCATGAACCAACCAATACGCAGGCCAAGATCAAAAGACTGATATGTCCAACCCCAAAGTCACCCAGCCTCAATGCCTCGAGCAGCTCAATCAGTGAAGAGTATATGAAAGGTATAAAATATATATTATACAGATGCAATCATTATGCATTTATAGCATATAAAAATAATGTCTGTAATTTCCAGGACATTATACATTAAATAAGCCAGTCTGGGTATTTTATTTCTAATTTGTAACATCATTTAACTCTTTCTAAAATATGCCAAGAATGGCAATAATCAATTTAGTAGAGTTTTTATAACATAACTTGTTTACAGGGTAACTAACTTCCTCCTGCCAACCAAAAGATCTACTATGGAAAAAGGAGTAAAAGTCACTCTAAGTAATATTAAAAGAAGAACATGGGTTAAGATCTTATAAATAAAGTAGGAATGCACATAAAGCAGTGAAACAATATTTCCCCTTCTCTCCAACAAAAACCCCTGCTCCCTACTCACATTCTTTTAAAAAATGTGAATGGTTAGTCTCAATTTACTCAGAGACATATTTTCAAATCCAGTTTGTAACCACAGTTCATTTACCCAAAGTATAAATAAGACAACCTATAAATTAGACAATAAGTAAACATACTCAGAATATTCTCAAAAATAAGCTGTAACAAGAGTTAAATATTTACAACCTGATTATTTTAATATATAAGAACTTACAGGGTAGCATGAAATATTGTCATGCTGTATGTTTCACTATACTGTATAAAAGTGGCTATAATAATAGGAACTAAAGCAGTAATTCTGAATGATTTTCTAGAATTTCTTTTCTGAGCTGAGCAAAACCAAGCCTTAGGCAATAAGGTCGGAGATAAATCTACAATAGCAAGAGGCATATTAACTTCATGTAAATCAAGACAACTTAAGTTATAATTTTCTTATACTCCAGTTTGTAGTAGCCTAGAAATTCCAGTAGATCTTTGTTTTTTTTTTTAAGAATCATTTCATACTTTTGCCTTTGGTTAACAATTATGGGTTTTCTATATTTTGAATGTATCTGAAATTAAACATGACAGTTTTGCCACAATTTTATGAAGTTTTATAAATGTTAAACAACAGCTGTTTGACTAGGGATTTATCATACCAAAATGTAAACTGACATCACCAGTGCAAAGGGCCTAAGTTTACAACTTTAACACCATAAGCCAAGGACAGTTTGATTCACAGAGTCTATAAATAAGCACCTTTTAAAGCTGAATGACAGCAATAAGGAAATAGATGCTCAGTAAAATGACAGGAGTTTTTTGTTTGTTTGTTTTTTGTTTTGTTTTGTTTTTATGAACCAAGATTCATTTGCAACTTCTGGAAAGGAAAAAATATTTTATGTAGACTACACTTGGTAACTATTGTTTTACCATATTCAAAATAGAATTCAAATGATCATGTATAATAATTCATGTTTTCTATTACCAAAAATATTAAAAAATGTAAAAACAAGTATTTTCTACATGTAATAGTAGAAGCTAAAACTTCTTACATCAATATGTGAATACCTGGTAGTAATTTTATTTCTTATTTTTACATGTAAGTTTCATATATGTTGTAAATCTTTATATATATTTAAAAGCACACTTGGGCACCTGGGTGGCTCATTCAGTTAAGTGTCCTACTCTTGATTTTGGCCCAGGTCATGATCTCAAGGTTGTGAGATGGCACCCCACGTTGATCCATGCTCAGCACGGAGTCTGCTTAGATTCTGTCCCTCTGCCCCTCCTCCCCAACCACCACTTGCACTCTTTCTCTAAAAAAAATTAATTAAAAAAATAAATAAATAAAAGTACACTGGATTTTCCTTGTAAGAAAATATCCTGAGAACTGTAATACTAATGTATTTTTTTCTAAATGTTACTGACAAAGAAAAAAAGGCATATATCAGAGTCCAATCAACTGAATGAGTTTTTTTTTTAATTCAGATTGTATACATAGAACCTACTAATATTATGCACATCCACACCACGTGGTTTAGAACTTATTACTCAAGTCCAAAATTCAGTACACACTCTAAACAAACAAGAAACAGTATTTGCTAAATTTAATTCCCCAGTTGTGCAGAATAAGTTTTCCTATTCTGTTTGGTGAAAACTACAGATTTTTCCTATGCTTTTACCAATTTTGTAGCCATAATGTTCTATTATCTGTTCTTCATAAGATATAATGTAAATGGAGAATTGCAAATTAATGTAATGAAACATTTCATTGCCTTTTACAGTTTCTTTTTGAAATCAGTCATAAGAACACCAGTAACTAGGCATATTGGTAACCAGTCTGCAATTACAGGTCCTATAATAACTACGAAGGAAGACCAAATAGTGACAAAGGCCATCAGGGCAAAATCTGTAGGACTCTTTTCAGGGAAGCATGATCTCCCTGGACACCACTTTCCTGAGGGCAGAAAGGAGATCCTAGATCTTCCTGTGTTCATCTTGTCAAAATGGAGGCACATTCCTCTGGTGTTTATGGGCCTTCAGAGGTTTGCCAACACGTAAGTATGAATAGGACGTGGATTCAAGAGCCTGCATCATAACCCCACAGATCCTCCTACTGGACAGCAACACTGAGGCTGCCAAACACTGAGAAATAAACCACCACCTCAACGAAGGAACAAATTCCTGGGAAAACAGACTTATCATATCACCATTATATAATAGGAAGAAACTCTACGTATCATGCGGCTTGTGCTAAAATGCTTAGTGATCTCATTCTTACCATAACAAATTATCTGCCAGAAAGACCTTCAAGGTCAACCCTGGCAACAATTAAAAAATAATGAAAAGCATTCATCCCTAAGGCAGAGTTAGAATGTTTTAGTTTGAAGCAATGTGCTGTATATTTTATTAGCTATAACTTGTTTAATTATTCATTGCAACTCTTCTTATATTCTATACAGAACCCTCAGGTTGCTCAGATTTCTATCTTAAATCCTTTTTTTCCCCCTTATTCAAGGGCAAATGCCTTAAGAACCCAAATTTCTATCCACTATTTTCAACTGAACACAAAGATATATTTGTTTAGGATAAAATACTAAATTAAAGCCAGAAAGATAACAGAGTGAAACAGAGGGAAGCAGGGACAGAGAGGAAAAGACAGACAGACATACTATTTCATTATCCTAAATCATGTAAACCTCTGACAAGCCCTTCCACAGGGATCCTCCTCCTGCACCTCAACCGCACCCCGCCCCACACCAATTCCACCTGCATTCTACATACTCCTGTGGGGTCCTCAGTGTCCACGACCCCCTGCAGCCTGAAGGGCTGCCTGAAGGGCTGCCTGAAGCATTGCTAGGGCACCTTCCAAAAACTTCTGTGTGGCTTCCCATCAGTGAGGCCACTGCTTGCTGTGTTGTGTTCTGGCACATGCCGCCCCTAAGGAGAGAGCTGACACTGGTTTAACTATTTCAGATGCATGGGTGCACCACAGGTGTTCCTCCTGGAGGAGCACACAGGGGTGTGAGGAGCCCGGGGGCAGCTCTGCATTGCAATGCCAACCCGAACGGAGGAATGCTGTTGATGTCTGCAAGCCTGAAACCACCCCGATGGACATCCGGGAAGAAGCATCCCTCACTCACATGAAATAGAGGAATTCCCTCCCTTCTCTTTACAGCTCTGAACATGAGAGTCCCCCCCCCTCCAAAAAAATCCTACTTTAACACCAAAATTAACAGGGCCATTTGCATGTGTGGTCACAGGTCTATGCCACAGGTGAGTCTCAAAGGGGTGACATGCCTGAGAAGTAGCATACCTTAGCTTTCCATACAAATTAAAGCTTTTACAAGTAACCTGATGGCAATTTTTCATAAAAATGACCACCAATACTATATATACTTAACTTCACATGTGGTGATGTAAAAGAGCTAGATTTGGAGTCAAACTGAGTAAATTGCAAGCCAAAGACCCAGATAATCAGAACGTCTTTTACCTTAGAGGGATCACAGTGACTAGCTGGACTCCCTCATTTTAGAGGTGAAGGGAGGAAACCCTTATGACAAGAAGAATACAGTGATCTGTTGAGCTTAACAAAGTCAGACATCAGCAGATTCAGACTCAGACCCCTGGGTCCCCTAACACCAAGTCTGTAGCATTTCTATTGCACTACCAATTGGTGTAATTCGAGAATTCCCTAGGGTCAATTTCAAAAGGAAGGACTACAGAATGCTAACTTCTTTTTACTCTATTATTCCGTAGAGCTTTGCCTAGTTCCTAAATTGATGATTTAAAACAAAACAAAACAAAACAAAACACAACCATACTTCTCTCATATCTGCCATTTTCCTGGGCTTTGTTTTGGGTCTCTGCCACGGAAATCTCTGCACACAGGTGTGGCAGATCCTTCTACCTACCTACTCCAGTTTTACCCCCCTTTATTCTTAGTGACACAACCCCTGTTTTGTGCACAGCAGCAGTTCCCAGCTAACAAAACCTATATCCCAACCTCTGGTTCAGCTATGGATGGCAAACAGACTTAGCTCTGGCCAAGGAGATAGAAGCAGAAGGCACCACTTGGAGTTCCCAGGAAAGCTCTTTAAAAGGGAGATTTGACTGGTTTGTGCCTTTGGCTTTTTGCCTTTCATCTTCTTTGTTCCTAGGAAGATCCTGGAGGTCCAGCAGCCACACTGTCATCATGAGGCAGCAAGCATGAGGATGAAAGCTGGACAGCCAGAAGGAGGGCCAAATAGAA